TGCTGGGGTGCACCGACTGGGACCAGAGATACCTGATCTATGGGGTTCCCGAGCCTGTTCCTGTACCGCACTACACCACGGTCTCCAAGGAGGTTTTTGCATGGGGAGATGTCTCGGGCTCTTGGGGGCCCACGTCATATACTGACGGTTCGGGGTTCTCGGCCAGCATTCCTGAAGTACGTAGGTGCGGGTGGTCGGTCTGCCAGCTGGACCCCGTCACGTGGCTCCCCGCCAGAGCTGTATATGGGCCTTTGCCCTACTACGTGCAGACAGTAGGACGTGCTGAGCGCTATGCCATTAAGATGGGACTTCAGTGGCATCCTGGGCATGAGGTTTTCATTTCTGATCTGAAATCGCTCGTGGAAGAAGGTGCGTCCTGGGACCAGAGGCTCGAGTTTGGCAAAGCGAAGCACGCCCGAGTCTGGAGAGATATTTTTTCGGCTGCCAGAGCACGCGATCCACGTCTGCCACCAGTGCGGTTTCAGTGGACTCCAGCTCACAGGAAGCTGGAGGACATCATCGGGTCGGCCACGCCAGACGAGCTGGAGGCCTACGTCGGCAATGCCTGGGCCGATTTCTTCGCGAAGTGTGGCAGCGCTTCGCATATGGTGTCAAAGACACTGGCTGACAGTCTGGCAGCTGGGCTGAAGCAACACAGGCAGGTCCTGCACTATGTGTCGTGGGCCGCCTTCCAGGTCGTGCAGTTTCGGAAGTGGGGAGCTGACCCTGTCGTGGTGCAGGACCCAGAGCTCGCCCAGGTGCCCAAGCGTGTGGTTTTCGAGAGGCCCCAGGACCACGAGTTGCTCTTCTGCCAGAGGACGTCAGAGTATCGGTGTCGAAGGTGCAATCGTGTCGCTCGGTGTGCGAGTACCCTCCAGACTCTTCGTTCGGGAGCTGATCGTGTATGTGCTCCCTCGCCCCTTGTCCAGAGCCTGGCCGAGGACTTCTTCTTGCGGAGTTCTGAGGCGTGGCTTAGTGTCTCGGATTCTAGGGTCACGGCGGCCATCGAGGCGGCCGATAGGATGTTGGGGTCCACGTCTCGGCCTTTGGAGGCCTCCTCGGTTCCCGCGGTCCCTCCTCAGCCGCTGGGGCAGGTGTCGGCTGCCAGCGGCTCGGCCCACGTACCCCAACCTGTGCTTGCTGAATTCGCTGAATTGGGGCATGATGTTTTCTGTGTCAATTCCGTGTATTGCTGCCGCAAGTGCGGTGGCAATTTCAACGGGTCCGAGTCCTTCAGGTCCGCCCGCAAGCTGCGGGCGCAGTGCCAAGGTTTCTCGGAGAATCCAAAGACTAGGGCGAACCAGCTCACGGCGATCGACCGCATCACCCGTGGCCTGGAGCCCCGCCAGCGGGGGGCAGGAACGGTGCGTTCTGGCCCGAACCCTGCCCCCTAGTGTTTCTTTTGGGCTTGGGCCTGGGATGTTTTCTTGGGTGTGGTTTTCCTGAGGCGCCCCACCCTCTCCCAGGCTTCCGCCCTCCGCCACCCCTGTGGCTCTCAGGTCTCACACGCGGTGGGTGTTCGTCACTCGGACGCCTCTCCTGCGGCTCGCTCGCTCCTCCTCCTCCTCCTCCCCCTCTGGTGCCACAGGCGCCGTCGTCAACACCGGCTGCGCCGCCGCCGTTGCCAGACAGCTCCTCGGCTAGCTCAAGCGCGCGCTCCTGGCGCTCGCTCAAGGCGTCGGGGAAGCTTCTTCGGGTGGATAGTGGGAAGGCCTGTTGAGCCGTCTCGGAGCGCTCTTGGGTTGTCATGGGGGCCCCTTGGGAGCCTTTTGGGCCGCCCTGGAGCGGTCTTGGCGGCCTCTAGGACGGTCGTTAGCGCCGTGAACGCCGAAGAATCGGTTATGCTGAAGGCTTACGTCTTCGAAACGGATGTCGACGATTTTGACGTCTTGGTGGCTCGCCGGCATCATGGAGGCAGTGTCGAAGCCTGTTGGCGGCCGTTTTGGGCCCTCCGTGGCGACTCTTAGGAGCCTCTTGGGGCCTCTTGGGCGCCTCTTGGGGGCCTCTTCGGGCCTCTTGGGGACTTCTCGGGCCCTCTTGGGGGCGTCTTGGGGCGGAAGGCTTCGATTCTCGGTTCGGGCTCCCCTTCTTGGGCCCCTCTTGAGGCCGACTTCGAGCCCTCTTGGGCCTTCTTGGGCGTCTCCTGGGCCGTCTTGGCGCCGTCTTGGGCTCTCTTTGGAGGCTCTGGGGCCCTCTTGGGCCCTCTTGAGGCGGTCTGAGCGGCCTCGTGGGCCGTTTCCAACGCTGTGAAGGCCGAAGAAGCGTATGTGTCAAACATATACGTTTTTCCCGCAGGAATGTGACGATTTTGGCCTCTTGGGTCTCTCTTCACAAGCCTGTTGGAGGCTTCTTGGAGCGTATGGGCGGCTTCTTGGGTCGTCTTGGGCCCATCTTGGGCGTCTTCGAGCGATCATTCTGCGACTGTTGCTCTCTGGGGCTGTCTTGGGGGTGTCTTGGGAGGCTCCAAGCCGAGCCTGGCGAGCCCAGACCGCCCCGGGGG